AAGTGCTACCAAATGAAGAAACAATAACAATTCTATACGGACTGTTCCCCAAAATGAAAGAGGGAGGAACACCTCCCACTTATTTTATGAGACCAGCTTTACCCAAATAGCAAAGGCATGTTAAGATGAGTAAGTGGAGGGAAAAAGAAAAGAAACCAATATGTGTCCCTCATGAATATAGACACAAAAATCCTCAGTAAAATATTAGTAAATCAATAAAAAGGATAATACTTCGTGAGCAAGTAGAGTTTATCCTGGGAATTTAAGATTGATCCAACATTGAAGATATTAATCAGTGTAATTCAGCTTATCAACAGATTAAAGAAAGATATCTTACCAACCTAGTAGATATGGAAAAATAATTTGACAAAATTAAGCCTTCATTTATGATAAAAATGCTCAGCAAACTAGGAATTGAAGGTAACTGCCTCCTCAAAAAACCTAGAGTTAATGTCGTACTTCATGGTAAAAGACCAGATGCTTCCCTAAGAAGGTATTTGCCCTCATTATTTCTCAGCATCATGCTGGAAGTCCTAGCTAATGTGTGAGGCAAGAAAAAGTAGTAAAAAGCATGAATAATTATCAAGAGATTCCAGCACTGCTACGAGAAAAATGAAACCAAACACTTTTGGGGTATTAAAAGCAGTATTTACACGCAGCTCACTTACCCACTCATAGCTTGCAACCTTGGGATTGAATTATGGGCTTAGCGGCCCCTGACCAACCTGAACAGTAGCAAACAGCTTGCAGTGGCATAACCTTTTTTATTTAGCTGTATGGTATACCTGGTTTTCAAATAAAGAATAGGAGGGCTGGAACTTACTAAGTGAGTGTCACCCAGTGCCTTGCTACATAAAAACAAAGAGTGGTGTGGGGAAAATGGAGACAACTGTACTTGAACAACAATTTTAAAAAAAGGAAAGAAAAGAATTTCAAATTATTTATTTCTCTCAGTTAAAGGGAATGTTTTGTTTTATAGCAAATTATTACCATCAGACTAGTTAGTTTATTATAATTTGTTTTTTAAACTTCTAGAAATTGGACTTTTGGTATATCGCAAGCATCCACATTTTATTTGAAGAATAACAGTTCACTTCTGTGTAAAGACCCACAAACTCTTCACTGAAGTGTTTTATAGGGAAGTATAAAATTGAAAGTGATGGGCATGCAGTTGAAACTGTACATAAAATAGAATTTGATAATACAATGACAGCAAAGTAATGAATTTTGCACTTTGAAATAGTGCACGAGTTTAGAAATTTTGAATGTAAATTAAATATGCCATAATTAGGACAGAGTAAAGGTATATAACTGTTTTTATAGCTGTTCTGATATTTTCTGGTATAAAATTATATATATGCCTTATAAGCTCCATGAAGATCACATCCAAGTTAGTATGTTTTTCTCATTAACGCTGCTCATCTCATTTATTTGATTTGTAATTACAGTAATATTCAAGGCAGAATGTATTCAAGATGTCTGGAATGGTAATAATGGACATTTGCATTTATTAAGGTTTTTCTAAGTGCCAAGCACTGTTCAAGTGCTTAAAATATATCATTTACTCAGCAAAACAGTTGTTAAAAAAAGTACTATTATTATCACTGTACTTATAGGAGAATAAAGTAGGGGCTAATAGCCATAGTCCTCACTCTCAAAGACCTAAAAAGGGAACAGGGAGATAAATTCTGTGGGCAAGGTATAAATAAACTATTATAATACATTATTTCTTTTTATTAACGTTGGAGAAAACTGCTTGGAGGGTAAAATGCCACTTGAGTATGGCGTAAAGTATATAATGGGCAGAGAATGTGAAGCAAGCAGAAAAGGCCCAGCAGGTAAAGACGTGGGAGAGCAGGGGACGCAGTTTTGTAAATTGTGATTTACAGGTTTGCTAAATTGTGGTTTACGGGTTTGCTAAGTGCCAGATTTTGAGGAGAACAATAGGAGCCAATATTGGGAAGGTATTTGGGAGTCAGTTTTGAGAAGCTTTCAGAAACACCAAGTCAGTTTGGACATTTTTCTTTTAAGCGTTGGAAAACCATGGAGAAGTATTATTGACAAAGTAAAATTTTCTGAAGTGAGAACTACAAGCCACTGAACGCTGTGGTCGGTCAGGTGTGGAAGCTGCTGACTCTAGTCCCCTTCCAGTGGGTGTTCCCTTAATAGCTTAATCATAAGATTTGTTTCTTTATAAAACCCTCAGTGAATTATTCTAACTGTATACTAAAATAAAACATTCTTAACTCCAAGGATAGATTAACTTTGCTGGAAGTATTTATAAATAATAATTTCCTACATATTCATTCAAAAGTATTTATCTAGAATACAGAGATCAGAAGACAAGCTTCTGGTTCCCAAGATAGTTTTGTGAGAGAGATGGTGTATTTGTTTCCTATTACTGCTGTAACAAATTGTACTGTGTCAAAAAGGCAAATTCTTTTAAGTTCTGGAAGTCAGAAGTCCTTAAGTTCTGGAGGTCAGAGGTCACTAGAATGGGCACTTGGGGCCACATTCATTCTGGAAACTTTAAGGGGAGAATCCATTTTCTTTCCGATTCCAGCTTGTAGAGGTTGCCTGCATTCCTTAGCTGGTAGCCTCGGCTTCCAATTTCAGTCAACAGCATAGCATCCTCTGATAGGTCTCTCCTATCCCTCTGCTTTTGCTGTCATATCGCCTTCTATGTCTGTGACTGCCCCCTCACCACCGTTTCCCTTTTACAAGAACCCTTATTAATATATTGAGCCAACTCAGATAACTCGCGATTATCTCCCCAGTTCAACGTCATTAACTTTGTCACATCTACAAAGTCACCTTTGCCAGGAAAGGTAACATATTCATATCCCAGGGGATTAAGATGTGGACAATTTAGGGGGACATTATTCAGCCTTCCACAGGTGGTATGTACATGCATATTAATAATCTAACATTTTATGGTAAATAATTTGTTAGGAATAATATACATGATGCTAGGGATTCTCAGAGTTCAAGCAGCTCATGTAACCATGAGAATAGGGGAAGCTTCTGGAACAAGACATGGTTGAACTGAGTCTTGGAGAACAGGAGTCCATCAGGCAAGAAAGGGCAAGAAGAATCCAAGCAGAACGCTGTGTCAGGGTATGGCAGGAGCAAACCACGTGGTGTGAGATTGCTGTTTTTGTAATTAATAGTACTTCGGGTCCACTCGATTGGAAGTATGTACATATAAGGTTTGTGGAAACAGAAGAGAATATCTAAGTCTGAGTAAGGGGCCCATCACAAGACACCTGCATCTCCATCCTCTTATTTTCATGGTGATCTCTCTTGGTCTTTAGGCTTTTTTAGAAAAGTGCTTGTTTATTCTATTACAGTTGTTCCAGTTTTTCCCCCTTTGCCCTCCTCCACCCAGACTACCCCCCGCTCCCACAGCCAGTCCCCACACCATTGTCCATGTCCATGGGTCATTCATCATGTTCTTTGACTGGTCCCTTCCCCTTCCTTCACTGGATGCTTCAGGGCCCTCTGTCCTTCTCTCACTGTTGTGCATTCAAGCGCGGGCATGTTAGAGATCAGTCATTTTCATTGTTAGTGCTCAGTACGTTCTTAAGGCACGTGGCTCATGAAAATAAATGCATTTCTATGAAAATATTATTTCAACTTGTAGTTGTATTTCAATTATTTTTTTCTTCTGTGAAAGCCCTTGGCAAGCAAGTGAGAATAGCAGTGGGCAGGAGGGAGGGGGTTACTGCAGGGGAGAGAACCGAAGCAGCATTGGGTCCATCGGCGAGTTGGTGGTGGTTTTGAAAAGAAATCTGACTTAGCCAGTGATTATCAGCAGCAGAGGGAGAGAAGGAATAGTCTGTGAGCATTGTGTGCCAGCCTGTTCTCCTGTGGAGAACACACGCCTGCCCCACCCAGGAGCCTTCCTCCCTGCAATACTGGGCCAGCAGAAGTTGGGTCGCTCCTGTGACCAGCAGCCGGTTCTGGCATAGCTGTACCAGTCAGTCCTCACGCCACAGAGCCCATGTCACAGCTTTGCCTAGCGAGTACTTGGCAGGCCTCCACCTCTAACTTTAAACGTTTTATTCTCCAGTCTGCTCTAACACGTACGGAAACAGTTTTCATATTTATTAAGTACTATGCATATTTTGTTTTCTACATTTGATGTGATTTTGTTGGTATTTAGGCATTTTAAATTGATGAGGTTTGTAATAAACAGTATCATTGCAATCTGTTTCCATTAAAAGAAGGATTACTGTAGATGAAATCCGCTTATGAGTCTCAATTTGATTATTTTATATTAAAATGAATTGCTTTAGCCAGGAGTAGTGCAATAAATATTACCATAATAAACATTCTTGATATTGATGCTGTAATTAAATAGTACACCAAAGTAAATAATTTGTAAACTAACAGGTGTGAGTTTGAATCTCAAGACTGTGGTTTTTCAGTGTACCCTAGAAGAAGTTACCCAGGCTCTTCTAGTGTGTTCTCTCATCTATTAAATGAATACAATAACAGCCTGTGGGTTGTTAAGATTAATATTTATAATATGTCTGACATATAGATGTGCTCACAAATCCTAGTAGCTATCATTGTTCTTAGTAATTATTACAAGTTAACATTTGTAAACTTCATATTTATATTCTGTGGTTTTGAAAATATTCTGCTAATAAATTGGTGTTTTATATCATATTTTAAACTAGTTATTAACAGTTAAGAGGTAGAGTAGCGCGGTAGTTAAGGACATAGACCCTGGGTTCACATCTTAGGCCCATGACTTATTACCAGGCTGTTCTTGGGCAAGTTACTTCAGTGCCTTGTGCATCACTTTCTCAGCTTCAAAACATAGCCACCAATAGCACATTTCTCCCAGGCCACTATGAAGAGTTAATGAGGTTAAGAATTTATATAAAAAGTTTAGAACAGTTGCTGACATAAAGTGGTAGGCCAGTTTTTGTCATCATCATTATTTTTAATAATTTGTTGAGTAAAATTTTTTTGGTCACTTTTTACTTCAGGTGAATCTTGGAAGCAACCAGTACCTTTTCTCTGTCACAGTGGATCCTAAGGAAATGCCCTGCTTCTGTTTGCGCCACGATGTGGACGCTCTCCTCTGGCAGCCGCACGCTGACAGCAAGCAGGACATGTGGGAGCACATCGCGACTTTCAATGCTTTAGGTACAAAGCAAGCTCTTTGACAGCATTTTTCATTACTTCAGAAGTTGCGCTCATCTTTTTTTTTTTTTAAGTTTTCATTTTCCTTTTTTAAAAATCTGAGCTGTCCTAATTACACTTGGATTGACTTATACTATGATTACAGTTGATGAATATCAGTACTTTTGGGAACAGTAGGACTCATCTGTTTCTATGCTTGTACAGAAGATCAGTGCAGAATAGAAAATCACAGTGGTTATCTAACCACTTGCAATGTTCTGATCAATCATTTGTATATTCCTGTACAGTATTAGAATGCAGACAGGGAGTTTGACAATACCCTACATGGAACTTGTATTTGGGTTTCTTCAGAATAATCTCCAAAACCATCATGGAATTGCTCTGAGGTGGTGAACGTTAGGGAACATCTTTCAGGGTTGTAAGTGCAGAGAGCCATTATAAATGAAAACACTTAGAGAAGATGGTGATAAGCAAAAATAAAATTTATTCTGTAGGATAAAAGGGAAAGTACCAATTTAAAAATAGGGCTTGAAATATTTTAAACTACATAATTGTAGACTTATGTAATAATTGATTTTATATCAAAATATGTAAGTATTGTGAGGGAGAAATTTTTTACATGAATTAGCCACAGATACTGCTTTATTGAAAGGTTATTTTAAACTGGCAGCAGGAAGTTACGCATTTTGATTGCTAAGTGTGCACACAACCCTAACTATAGAGATTTGTCAGTTATGCCTTAGAGTTAATAATACAGCTGCTAAACTGGTTAATTCAGACTCCAAATGGGTTTTTATGACCTGAAATAAAGTTTGATTAAGTAATTTAACTGCATATTTCTAGCCTTTGCACTGTAATTTCTGTATTTTTTATTTTCTATCTTCTTTTTTAGGAGGAGGAAACTATCAATTTTCATAGGCTCAGATCCTCTATTCATATCCCCAAATTCCCTAGCATAGAAGATTGTGTTATGATTGAGTTTAAGTTAAATCAGCATTATAGTAGATGCGCAGTCTGAAGATATTATATACATTATTAATTTAGCCAAGGTTAGCCCAGAGAACTAGTTCTAAGCTACTCAAATAGAAAACTACATCCTCTTTTTTCCTTCTCAAATCCTGCTTAATATTAATAAAAACCAATATTCATCGAACTGTGCCCAGAGGTTCCTTTGCTCATTCTTTGTTTGATGAGCTTTATTGTAGTGTTATTTTTTTTTTTATCTCACATGTTATGGCTGAAAATCCTAATTTATATTTCAGCTTTTTAAATCTGGAGAGATAATTGTTAAGAAGATTAATACTGGTTTTTTCATAGTTTAATTAGTTTTCAAGGAATATCCTCATGAAGTTTTTAAAAATTAGATACTTGAATTTTCTCTTAAGCTTGAAGTGGTCTCAAGGTTCTACTTCTGGGAGCTGAAGTACAACAAAATTCTGTGTTGGTAATGGTATATAAAAATACTATCAGAGAAATAATGAGAACATACTGTGCATGTTAGTACCTTCAGGAATGGGGCCTGCATTTTGAACACAGTCCTGAAATAACTTTTCAATGGTCCTATAAATATTTTCCCATTTATTTAAGAAAAGGATGTGTAATGACCTGCCTATCTGTTATTGATCAACTTAACTATTAAATTGGCAATTAAAGATATTTTGACATGTTTTTAGCATTTAAATGTTTAGATTTTTAGTGTTTTAATTATTGATGGAAATTATATGGTGCTGTCTTGCTCCTTTCTTGAAGAGAAAAAACCCTGCCTGTTTTGTTCCTTAGGTATTAAAGCTCTATATTTGCACCACTTGGGAGAGAGATTGATTGTGGTTAATCATTAATGTTCATTGTTGAGTATTTACGGTATCTATTTAATTTAGGCATTTTAATTTGTAATAAAATTGTGAAATGTTAAATGTTAAATCACAACTTTTCTCCTTCTGTTTAATGTATAGTTTTTCTTTTGTTTGTCTCATATTTCTTGGCAGGCTATGTCCAGGCGTCAAAGAGAGACAAAAAATTTTTTGCCTGCGCTCCAAATTACTCCTATGCAGCCCTTTGCGAGTGCCTTCGCCGCGTGTTCATCTATCGTCAGCCTGCCCCCATGCCCACTGTACTTTACAACAGAAAGGAAGGCAGGCAAGTAGGGCAGGTTGCTAAGCAGCAGGTAGCAAGCCTAGAAACCAGTGATCCTATTTTGGGCTTTCAAGCAACAAATGAGAGATTATTTGTTCTAACTACCAGAAACCTCTTTTTAATAAAGGTGAAAACAGAGAATTAGTTAATCCAACATGTTGGCTTCTCTGTACTGGGAAAGGTATCAGCGGAAGCTGGAAGGCTGGGCAACTGTACTGTAACCTATTAAGTTTTAATGTGTTAAATAAAATTATCTTGTATGAATTTTTATTTTTTAAAGATATTGGAAATATATTCAAGAGATTATGATTCTATAAAAGCTGTGGAATGAAGCTGCAAATTTAGAGAAAATTGGCTTCTGTAAAAAACATAAAGATGCTATTAGCAATGTAATTATTTTTTAAAAACAGAAGCTATAATCTTTTATATGAAAAAAATGTACAGTTCAGTGTTTAAAAATAAAAATATCATGTACTCCTTGTTCATTGATGTAGTTTCTACATTCTGTACCTATGGAATGGATAGGGTAATAGTTAAAATGTTGATTCTTGTAAATAATTAAATGAGCTGAATAGCTGAGGTAGAGGGGAAATACAATAGGAACACAGCAGGTCTAGTACTGATAAAGTTGACTGGGACACCTGAGGTGTTTTCAAATTAAGTGTAGTTTATTTAATTTTTTCTGTTTGCTCTTTCACAGAGAGGTGATAAGATTACACAAAGAATAGCTTTTAACCATCACTGCATAACAAATCACCTCAAAACTCAGATTTAAAACAAGGAAGTTTTATAATTTCTCATGATTCAATGACTCGACTGTCTCTGTTCTACACGGCCTCTCATCCTCCATCAGACTAGACTCTGCTTCTTCCCGTGAGAGAGAAAACATTCCAAAAGGGCAAGCCCTTATGCACAAGACCTTACCAAGCCTATACTTCATTCATGTTTGGTCCTTTTCCATTGAACAAAGCCAGCCACACGGCCAAGTCTAGAGTCAGTGTGGAAGGAGATATATAAGGATACAGATAGCAGAAGGTATGATTCATTGTGGGCTATTAATATAACAGTCTGCCACACAAATTATCATTTGTCTTTGATACTTCTTATATTTCTACAGTTACGAAAAAAAGAATTTTGATTCTACATTAAATATGTTTCGCTTTGAATTTTTGCTTCTCATATCGTTTTGCCAGGTTTCTTTAGGTGTGCATTTACCAAGAAAATTGTTTACTTTTTATACTTTTTAGTTTTGCTCATATAACCTCAAGTTGAATTTTATATGTCAATAGTGAAGTTGAGACCTTAATATGAAGCAAAAAATGAAAAAAAAAGATATAAGATAGAGACTACTGGGTTGGCCAAAAAGTCTGTTTAGTTTTTCCCATAATATGAAAGACACATTTTTCATTTTCACCAATAACTTTATTGATTTGGATATTTTGAGTATGTCGACTATCTCCTGCTTTTGGTGTCTAGAGGCCAGGGTGCTGCTAAACATCTTCCAATGCATCAGACAGCCCCCACGGCAAAAAATTATCTAGCTACAATGTTAATGGTATCAAGAAACTTCACAAACCACTTTTGACATGTTTGATCAGTCACACCTTCTCCCTATGCTACAGATACTTTTTTCCATTTCAGTTGCATTTTTACCTTTTTTGAAATAATAAAGCATAATACACCAAAAATGTTGCATATTTTCTTTCATCTTCTGTAGTAAAATGGCCGCACAAAAATTCACCAATTTTGGTAAATTTTTTTTTAAATGCATGCTGATATGACAGCTGTCACAATATAATTGTGACAAAATTGTTAACAAAATTGTTTCAAATGAAGTTAAAGATAGCTAAGCACTATTAGAGCCATCTTACGGAAAAAAACCAAGTGAACTTTTTGGCTAACTCAGTACTTGTTCCTAATGTATCTCTTGCCTATCTTTGCTAGTGCTTGGCTGAATTAAATTTTAGTGTAAAAAGGAGAAATAAGTTTCAGAGAAAAGAAAGAAAAAGATGAGGATGATATGCGTGTTCTAAACATTATATCAGACTTTAATTTCCTAGAGAGAAGAATTGGGATGCTAGATAAAAAGTGGGGAAAAGTCCTGAGAACTGGTATTGACTATTGAAGTTCTAATCAAACTGTTATCATCAGGAAAGAGACTAGATATCAAACATCATGAGGTCATAGCATAGGAAGGAAAATATGTGGGTGAACCAAAAACAGAACCGTGATCTTTCTAGAACTTTTTTAGTATCATTGTAAAACTTAATGAACCAAAGACTATTTAGACAGTGAACTATTAAGAGCTTTCTTTTATGTGACAGTGGGTTTAAATTTTCTTTAAAATTTATCTCAGAGATCATAAATACCCTTAGGGAATATAAGCAAAATTCAGATTAATGTGGCTGCTTAATTAACCATATGGCAATGTATATAAATAAATTTCCATATAGTGTAATCAGTTTTATTCCTTTGTACATAGGATTTTTAACATGATTAATGTTGAATTGAGAACTATCAGGATAATTAGTCCTAAATATTGTTACATATTGACCTACGTTAAAAGGATAATAGGTCTAGAGTGTTCATTCCAAGCCATGTTTTCTTGAAATGTTCCAAGGATTTCATGAACATTTAACTCAGCTTAAACAGTGTTCTGAACTTTTCATAATAATAAACACATTTAAATAAGGTATGTACTACAAGTGTTGTGACTATAATATATTTTAATTGATTTTACCATCAATTATAAGTGGGAATTTACGATAGTAATAAAGCAGTACTATGTGTGTTTTTCATATTAGAGTCATTTAACAGTATTTATTATTTGAACATATTTAGTATGTGTCAACTATGTGTGATAACATGTTTTCGTTCTTAAGGATAAGGCAGTGCTGACATGAAGAGTAAAATTTTCCTTTGAATAAAAGCAGTGAGAGGGGAGTAGGCAGGTGGAGCGGAGTGGTAGATCTACTGTTGGAAAGAAATTTAACAATGATGGAACCCATATAAGAGTAGGCAGAAGAGTTGCCAATGGGAAGGGTCAGAAACAGGATAAGAGAGGTCAAGAAATTAACCACAGAAATAGCAAATATCATATGAGAGTATTATGAACAGTTGTACACCAATGAATTTGACAACATGGAAGAAATGAGTAAATCTTTAGAAACATAAAACCTGCCAAGACTGAGTCACGAAGGAATAGAAAATCTGAACAGACCACTTAGAGTCAGTAATCAAAACCTCCAAAAAAACAAAAGTCCATGACCAGACTGGAAAAACGACAGCAATATGCAAAAGAATGAAACTCAGCCACTCTCTTATACCATATGTAAAATTAACACAAAATGGATAACAGACTTGAATATAAGAACTGAAATCCTAATACTCCTAGAAGAAAACATAGTAAGTTTCTTGACATCAGTTTTTGCCATGATTTTTTTTGGATGACACCAAAAGCGAAAATGAACAAGGGGGACTACAGCAAACAAACGCTTCTGCACAGCAAAGGAAACCATCAATAAAAATGACAAAGCAGCCTACTGGATAGGAGGTATTTGCAAATGATACATGTGATAATATTCAAAATATTTAAGAACTCATACAACTCAATAGTATAAAAAGTCTGATTGAAAAATGGTCAGAAGACCCAAATGGATGTTTTTCAAAAGAAGATATGTAGGTGGCCAACAGGTACATGAAAAGATGCTCAACATCAGTCTTTTCACATCTGGGAAATGCAAATCAAAATCACAATAAGTTATCACCTCACATTTTTAGAACAGCTATCATCAAGAAGACAAGAAATAAGTGTTAGTGAGGATGTGAAGAAATGGGAACCCTGTGCATTGTGGGGATGTGGGGATGTGAATTGGTGCAGGCACTATAGAAAACACCATGGGGCTTCCTCAGAAAATAAAAACAGGACTACCTTATGATCCAGGAATTCCACTTCTGGGTATTTGAGGAAAATAAAAACACTAACTCAAAAAGATACCTTCTCTCCCATATTTATTGCAACATTATTTTCAATAGCCAAGATATGGAAACAACCTAAGTCTTTGTCAATGAGTGAATGGATAAAGAAATTATATGGATTATTATTTAGCTATAAAAAGGAGGAAATAGTGCCATTTGCAAGAGAAATGATGGACCTCGAGGGCATTATGGTAATGAAATAAGTCAGATAAAGAAAACAAGTTAGGATTTCACTTCTATGTGGAACCTAAAAACAAAAAGCATAATTATCACATAACAGAATGGCAGTTGCTAGAGGCAACGGGGTGGGGAGTGGGCAAAATGGGGAAGGGGTTCGAAAGGTACAACCTCCCAGTTATAAAATAAGTCCTGAGTGAAGTAATGATCAGCATGGTGTCTGCAGCTAATACTGTGTTGTGTATTTGAAAAAGAGATCTTAAAAGTTATTATTACAAGAAAAAATAACTGTGTGTGGTGATGGATGTTAACAGACTATGGCAATCATTTTGCAATATATACGAATAATGTATTATTACGTTGTATACCTGAAACCAATTTAATGTCTACGTCAGTTTTTTTTTTTTGTTTTTTTTTTTTAATTAAATGAGGGTGAAAAAGATAAACCAGTTCAGCTGCGACATGAAAAAAAAAAAGGATGGGGCCTGAGGGGTGGCCCCAAGGGGGCGCCACTGGCTGCTGGGGCAGGGCTCTCCAAGGGGCCTCTTCCACATCCGCCAAGCTCAGGAGTCCACAGAGACGCCATCTCATCTCCCGCCCTTTCTGGCCCCGCCCGCAGGAAGACACAGGTCAGCAAAGTGCAGCAGCGGAAGTGAGGACTGTGCTACGGTGGGAAGGAAGGAGGTTGAAGAGCATAGGGTGGTACCTGTGAATGGCACCTTTGGATCTAGACCTATTCCCACCTCCCTCACAAAGAGTCTTTACCCCGTTGTTCAAAGACAGCTGTCTGGCTCCGACCTGTGCCTCCTGATAACCCCCGCTAAGTCACAAGTGGCAGTCACCCACCATTTTATATCCAAGGCCTGATCCAGATCCTAATAGGTAATATTTAATAAATATGTTAAATAACTGATTAAGAGAAATTAAGAAAGATTAACAATGTGAAAGAATGTTTTGAAGTAACGTACAACTAACATTTCTATTCATAGGGAAACTACAGATTAAGTCATCAGTGCAAAGGCATTTTAAACATTTGTGATTATGGAGATAAGAACAAATGGTAAATATATGTATGGCAAATAATAAGTAATAAAACTAGTATTAACACTAGTCATTGCAGATTATTGGAAGAATATTTTAATTTTTTCAGTCCTAAACTGTCTTAATGAACAGGTAATAGTAGTTGGGCTAATAAAAGTTAATCCTAATAATAGGATGTTGGAGTA